TTGGCCCAGATGGCCAGTATCCTTTCTTGCTTTCAGAGCTTGTGTTTTGCTCCCAAAGATTTTTAACGTTCCCTGGGAGTTCCAGCATGCAGCCAGGGCGGAGAGACTTCATCCAATCTAACTTCCTCATTCGATGCAGAGGCCAGGGCGTCACCTTCCTCGTCACATGCTGGTCCCAACTCTTGGGCTACAGTTGTTCCCTGTGGTGCCCACAGTCTGACATTGGTCTTCTGGCCAGGCTTCTTCCCCAGGTTACCCCATAAGGGGATTGACCTTGACCAGTTGGCCCCACTGGACCCCAGGATGATCCTGTCCTGACCTCGCTGGTCAACAGGGACAGCAGTGAGCCCAGAGTCTAGCTCTGGTGAGGTTCTTTGGCATTGCCCATCTCCCTTCTCTGAGGCATTCTACTTACCAGGCTAAAAAGAGACATCTCTCTTCTAGAAGCACTGATGAAGGTACTCCAAGCACAGCTGTCCTTTACCTCTCACTCTCCTGGGGTCCCTGGAATACTGTCAACTGGGACAATGACAGAGCTTTGGCTAGCTTTCAGGATGGCCAGGCCCCTTGATCAGTTAGTGTGCATGGTTGGTCACTGCCCCTGCTTTGAAGATGGAGTCAGTGACATTTTTGTACCTAAAAGACACTCAAGAAATACTAGCCCTAGGTCCTGCCTCATCTAGTGCTGTGTCACCTCAGTCACATGTTTTTCCGTGTGATTTTTTTTCTCCTTTTCCCAGTGACCTTTTCTTAAGCTTTCAGCATAAGTGGATTTATGATAACTACCAGTCTGTTGAGCCCTGGGTCCCAGGAGTACCCAGTGACTTGTGCTGGCAGATGAACTCCTAATGATAAGTGGATTAATTTGGTCAAAGAATATATATCCAGATATATGATCTTATCATGTATTTACCACTTCCTGGCTCAGGCATAGCTGAACATTCAAAAAATAATATTCTAAAATGAGTCTAGGGGTTTTAGGGAAGCCAACGTAACACAGGAGCTTTGAATGTGAACCACATTGGCTTCAGAACTGTTTGTGACTAGTGTGGAAGGACTTACATTGTAATCATCAGACAAAATGGGGAACCCCAAGTTCTGAGGATTCAGCCTGAGGACCAGACACAGACTCTTCCATTTGATGATGTCGACACATAAAGCTTTTTTTTTTTTTTGTGGTCTGTCAGTATCTTACTTGATGTCTGCTTGGTTAATGAGGGGGCACGCTATTTTGGTCTAAGTCTAGGTATTCTTGTCAGTCATTAAAATTTGCAGACCTGTGCTTGTTTAACTGTGCCCAGCGATAAAGAGTTTGTGTAGTAATAGACTTAGTTTACGAAGCATATCATGGGATGAAAAATGCCAGTAAAGGTTGGCCACCTGCCCTTAGCCTTCTCTTCCATTATGGGCTTTCTAAGGATAGAAAGCAAGGGGAGAGGTTGTCACTTACCTTGGAAGGATCTAGCAAGGTGGCAGGGGCCAGAGATGAGCACTACTGCGTGATCACCACAGAGCATGCCCTTGTAGCAGCAAACAAGTCCTTTTTTTTATGGAGGAAGGGCAGGCATCACATCTCTGTTTTCATGGCACCATATGATGGTTTCTTTATAATAACAGGTGCTAGTTTTTTCCAAGCTCTGCATCTCCATCTCAAAGAATAGACTGCTTGGTTCTATTCATATCTGCCGAATTTAAAGAAACGGGTGGGTATTTGAGTTTTGAATTTTTTTAAGGAATCCAGATTGTAAGTGTCCGTGTGTGTGTGTGTGTGTGTGTGTGTGTGTGTGTGTGAATTTTACACTTGTTTAACTCACGTAGATAATATCAAGTGTACTTGCTTTTCAAAAGCAAATTCTTATAAATGTAGAAATAGAAATACATATTCTTTTTTGGTTATTTTCTAAATAAACACCTCTTTTTCAGCATATGAAGAGCTAGATATAGCTTTTTGATAGGGGCATTGTCAGATTATGTGCTTTTGTGAATGGATCTATTTTCCAGGGGGAACACCCAGGTCTAAGTGTTGCATGAGAGGCCTTTGGAGTCCCAGGCTGCCTGGCGGGGAATGGGGGGGTGTGGGGGGAGGAGTGGGGGGCCGTGGGGGGCCTTATGTGTTCACCATGGGATTTACTTGGCCTTTTCAGCTGGAGTGCTCCTGAGGTGGTTGGGGTGGGGGTAGGCATTTCCTAATGCCAGAGAAGCTCGACGGATCATTAGTGGAATTACTTGGGGGTCATCCCATGGAATCCCCCTTGAGTGTGAGCTCCTTGAGATCAGAAGTCAAGCCTGGGTCAGCTTTGTGTTTCCACCAGGCCAAGTTTGCAGCTGGTGTGGTCGGGATGGGTGCAGGATGTTTTAAGATGACAACTCTGCCTGGCCTTTGCTGGGGCCTTGGGTTTTATCTTTACTGCCCAAGGAGCCAACCACAGAACTTCCTGATGGACCTCTGTTAAGATAACTAACAGAGGAGGAGAGTCCTTGGAGTTGTACAGTTGTTTTAGTCACCCCCGTTGCAGTTTGAGCAAAATATCTATTTACTTCTATTTATACCTATTGAGCAAAATGTTTATTTACTGATCACTCAAAAATGCTGTGCTGTTCAATTCTACCTAAATATTTACTATATCTAAATATCTGAATATTCTCTCTGAAATGCTATTCGAGTTTGACAGAATTTGTTGAGATTTACAGGATCTGAAACCTATGTATTTATTTCTGCCTAGGGATAGAAGTTATCTCTATGGACGGCCTAGGTGTGCACACTTAAATCAATATTTCACTTTTGATTTAAAATACTCAGAACATTATCCAGAGATAAACAGAGTAAATATCATTTTAATCACCGCCTTCTGGCTGTGGAGGAGACACTGGTATTAAGTGGGAACAGTGCACAGAGGCCTGTGGGGGGAGGGGCGGGTGGTTTATTGATTTTCTGTGTGGCCAGCGCATCAGCAAAGGTTACATACAGAGTTGGTTGTGCTTAGAGGAGGGTGTAGGTGTAGAAGGAGCAGTGTCTCAGGTGGGCTCAGACATGAGGCAGCCCTGCCACTGGCTAGGATTGGAGGAGAACACAGTGCTGGGACAGCCAGCCTGATCATAGTCAGTCGAGGGAGAAGGGCAGGTCAGGGTACAGCCCCAATGGGGGGAACTGGAGTGTCAGTCAAAAACCCAGTAGCTACCTGTCATTAACTACCCTGTGCCAAGGACTTATTTCACTCTGTTTCTTAGTTACTCTCATTTTCCCATTTCATAGATGAGGAAACTGAGGCTCAAGAATTAAGGAATTTTCTAAGTCCCCAAAGTCTCCAAACCCCAGGATTGAAATCCAAGTCTGTCTGACCCAGCATGCATGTTCCTTTGTGGAACTGCGCTGTCCTTTGGATGAGGAGAGTGGAGGTGCCTGCCCCTGAGAGCTGTGACAGGTAGCGGTGTGACTATCTGGTTGTCTGCCCCATCCTGCTGGTACTTCATACCAGCCAGACCGAGACCTGGAGGGGCTGTGCCTCAGCTGGAAGCTTCAGAACCACAGCTGCAGGCTGCTCTCAGGGATCCTGGTGAGCCGAGTCCCCAGAGCCACAGGGCTACACCTGCTTACTAATGGATTAGCCACCCATAAAATCAGCTCCCCACCCTCTCAGGCCACTTCGCACCTTTGCAAGTAAGACCAGTGTCTCCCCGTAGCCATTGCCTCCAGTATGGCTGACTGTTGGAATCTGGCAATGTTATAGAAATGGAAATTCAATGTAAGTTAATTGCAAAGTTAAACTGCAGACCTTACAGAAGGTCTAGTACCTCATGAAGACACTGAGGGTGATGTTGGAGAACTCTTGGATCTCACATGTTAGCAAATTAGGGTCTGAGAGAATTAGATCAGTTCAGCAATGGAGAAGGAGGGTCTGTGATGAGTATTTTAGAAAGCATTTGTTAGTGGAAAGGCTCTTAGAAAATTAATGAAGCCCTTGAATTTGCAAAAATGATCTTTCTGATTGTCTTATTAAAATTAAAACATGAAGCAAAAGGTGTCGGGGTAGTTGGTCAGGAAAAGTACACACACACAAAAAAATCAAAATCCTTTTCATTTTTTTCTTAAGAACAAATTAGAACATAGTTGTAATTACACGTTCTTAACCTAAAGTTTCTCAAAACAGAATTATCGTTCTAATTTTAGTCCTATTTTTTTCGAGGTACATTAAGACTTAATCGGATGTTTTTCTGCCCACCACCCTGAGCCAAATCACTTATAGTGAAATGATGGTCAAATGGATATACTGTGAAGTTACTACCACCCCAGCCTGACCCAGTACTGCACAGTCTTTATTAACTAGGACCTGTTCTTATTTCAGTCTGGCAAAAGAAACTAGATTGAGGAAGTTTTAGCAGGTAGTTTACAATCCTTTGGCAGCCTGAAAGAATGAATGTTTTGCCTAACCATGCCCGATATTTATTCTTACTGTCTCTGAGAAACTCTCCCAAAAGAATAGTGTCTTTCTTGCTTCTAATTACTTTTGAAGTCATGGCCATCCAGAGACCGTAATTTTTTTTTTATTGCATCCTAATGATTTTATTGTGCCCCAATTGATATTTTATTTAATATGGTTTTAAATTTTAATATGTATCAGTTAACCTGGTTCAGACCACTAATATTTTAATACTTAACAGTATTATCTAATGCTTGAGAAAAACTGCACACTGTACCCAAGTCATATAAGAGACGCCATGTCTTTTTGTCTTTTGGGGAAATTGCAGCATAATAAGGATCAGTCAACTTCCCCAATCAACACAAAGCTGCCCTATAACTAAGGGGAATGGCTCTGAATTCAGCAAGGTAAGATGGTCCTGGCCTTTGGGATGGAGGCTGGGAACATGGGAGCCTCTCAAATACAACTTTGGTCCAATTTTTTTTTAATGGACTCTATTTCTTAGAACAGTTTTAGATTTACAGAAATGCATTTTACAATGCAGTTTTAACTCCTAGATATTTTTTTTCCCTTTTTCTGCAGGCGCCGTCTCATCTCCCAGAGATCGTCCTTGGAGACCCTGGAAGATATTGAAGAGAATGCCCCTCTACGGAGGTAAGTTTTCTGTGTCGCGTTTATAGGTACGTAAAGGGCTGGCACGGCAACATGGCAGCCAAAGTTTGCTTCTTTTTTTTATGTTCTGGATCTACAGCATTAAAATTTTTAAATGACCCGCTGAATCCCAGACTCATAGTTTAAAAACCCCTACCCTGAGGACCCCTAGAACTAGAAAACTGTTCCAGTCCAGGCATATATTGGGAGAGGCCAATTCACATGTGAATTTGGGGGCTGTTTCTCTTTAAATTTGAAAGCTGCTGCTTGATGAAGAGGAGTCCATCACTGTCCCAGCTTTCTCGGGCGCAGTAACACTGGCGTCACAGTCCTAAGCTTCACCAGGAGGTGCCCACGAAGTCACTGTATAGCTGGTCGCTGGGGAAACTAGGTTTAGGATAGCTGCGAGTGCTCCTTTGGGGCTGAAAGCATTCCATTTCTCCCACGGGATTACAAAAGTGCTTGTGAGGCATCTTTTTTTGGGTGACAACAGTTGCTGAGCTGTGCTGTGCCTCTGACTGGCAGCTTTCTCTCCTCTAATCCTGCACCTCTTCACCAGCCTCCATCTGCAGCACAGTCCAGCCAGACCCTCCTTGAAGGGAGGACTCAGTACTCAGACTCTGCATCTCCTTTAGTCCTCACTGCAGCATGGGTCAGGTCGGCCAGCATAGAGAGGCTCCTTCCTGCAGTAGTCGCTGAGGCACGATGGGGACGCCGTGGCTTTACAGATATGTGTGGCAGGCTGAAGATGAGGTGGCCTGTGGGAGGTTATTGCTCCCCTCAAGTCGCACCAGTTCCTCTGGGAACCCACATCTGCCCTCCTTGTGCTTCTGTTTCTGGTCAGGACTCGGTAGCTCCAGGATCCTCCCTTTGAGTCTGGGAGGGTGCTGATGTGTATAGAGGGAGGCATCTCACTCTGGAGCCAGATCCTTCCCTGCCAGGACCTTCACTCCCAAGTTTAGGTCTTGTCCACAGACCACCTGGATGAAAGGTGGAGCATAGACAGGCCTAGGGTCAGATTGAAAGTGTCAGGAGACCCTGACTCTCCTCACTGGCGTCATTCTAAAGAGAAAGCCAGGGCCAGACAGTCTGATTTCCACTTTTGAAGTCTTTTTGAAAATGTATATAACCACTGGGCTCATCCTAAGATGAATGGCGTGTAGCTGTGTGACAAATGTGGCTTGGGTGCAAGTGTTTTTCCATCCATCAATATTAAATGTTAGGAGAAGGGCTGTTTCCTTGAAGGAGCCCTACAAAAAGCTGCTTTAAAAGTCAAATTAGAGAACTGGCTCTGGTCCAAAGTAATCAGCAACAGTGGAGGAGAAACATTCTCAGGTGGCACCAAGTGGCTTTGGCATTTGGCATTTCCCACAAATGGGAAAATCAATGAATAGAGCTGAAAAGCCCCTGGTGTTTCGAAAGGTTGCGAGAAGCCACAGTTGTTAGAGCAATGTGGTAGCTGTGAGCCAATGAAACCAGTTAAAAAAGAAATGTTACCCGCTCCTCAGGGATTCTAGGTTATTAGTTGGGGGGCTTGGGAGGAGCTGGGCACTATGATCCTGGTTGTGTGTCCTGTCATCCCATATCCTCCTCTCAGAATCTACCCAGCCTGGCCCTCTGCCCCTCAGGCCTCTGATAGTACAGATGAGCTGAGTAAAAATGGCTTATCTGCCCTACCTATAACTTCATCCGACTCTTACAGAATATTATACTTATATAATCTTGTGTAAATATAAAATTTAAAAATAAGTCGGAAATCAAGGGAATTTAGGTAGTTTAAGAAGTTTTCATTTTCACTAATGGATTTTTTTTTTAAATAAAAAAATTTACTTAGAAAATTATTTATTCCTAGGAAATAAATTAGCATGGCATAGCAGGAAGGGACCTTAGTTTGAGAGTTCTTGGCCTGATTTTTCTACTTACTGGTTCCCATGGCCTGGGAAATTCACTTAGCTTCTCTGGGGCCTCAATTTTCCCACCTTTAAAATGGGCGGGGCAAATTGGTTGATCTCTGAGGTCCTTTCCAGCTCCCTGATTCTGCGAAATGAATGTACTGTTAATAACACTGAAGTATTTGAGGGAATTGTGGGGGTTGAAGACTATTAGCCCAACTTGTTTTTCAACTCAGCACATTGAATAAATGGCTTCAAGGCATCTATTAAAAACCTTTTGCGTAATTAAATGCTAACAAGAAAGAGGTAATCTTTCATTAAATTAATTTTTAATTTAATTTCTAATTTAATTTTGCATCACATAACACATATGTTTTTAAATAGATATTTATACTTTATTTGCAGGTGGCTTTGAAATTAATTTGTTCTTTGCTTAACCTGCCACAGTCTGAGTGCTCAGTCTTCCAATTTCCTTGGCAATTGTTGCTAATGCCACAATTCTCTTAAAGCATTTCTTAGATTCCCTAGTGGTTTAGTTGAATGTTTAAAAAAAATGCAAGACAGCAAACAGCTCCATGAACGAAAGGCTAGATTGGTAGCATACCCAGTTAGAATTGGGCACTGGTATCTACCTAAAGCATCTTTTAATTTCTTCTTTTAAAAGTCTTGCTTTTCTTCTCTGCATCACAGTTTGTTAGTAAGCTCATTTTCTGTATCCACCTAGAACTCTAAGAATTGAGCATTTATAGGAGAGGGTTTATAGACTGAGAAGTTTTCCACTTGCCTGGTGGTTACAGTATCCTAGAAATAAGGACCTAGGATATTCCTATTAGGTGTCCAGAAAATCCTCAGTTCATCTACAGCAAAGGTAGCAGTCACCACCAGTTTTCCAGTCTGTCTGGTTTGCTGGTACTGATAGCTACCTATGATGCCTTGCTGACTTCCTGCGGAAGTCTGGGGAATTTTGTTTTCAAACCTGAAAGGCAACAGCACTTCTTTCTGCAGGCACAGGAGGCAGGGAGCAGCTCGGGGGTCATCCCTCCTCTGGGCTGGGATTGGTACCAGCTTCCCGCCACTGGGGTAGGAGTAGGAAGGTACCATCACAGTCTAGCTCACAGTCTAGTTCTGGGTCTACTACCGTCAGACTGGCTGGCCAAGGAAGCTCTGCTTTTTGGGGGGAAGTGAGGTAAGGATGCGAGGACACTTCTGAACACTTGGCCCTGTCCAGAAACCAGTGGAACCAAACCTTTACGCTTTCAGAGGTTCTCCCCTTTCCAGTGACTACATGGTTCTAGAACTTCCTTCGGTATGTGAGAGACAGTTGGGGATGTTGGGCAGCTTGCAGAATCAAGCAGTTATTTCTAAAGGTAGAAGTGAGGCAGTTTGGAGTCTTCGGTGTGCTTCCAGAGGGCTGCCTCAAGGAAGCAGAGTGAGGCTCTATCCCCTTGGCCCCCAGAAGCCTAAGTATGGGGTTAGAAGCCTGGAGTGGGGAGAGGGATTGGTGGGTACTGTCCCCTGTTCAGACTTTGCCTGAAGTCTACAGGAAGCACCTACTAAATGTCCTCAGGCAAGGCTCTGCAAGCCTTTAAAAGACTATTTAAAACCAAGAATTCAGGACCCTTATTAAGGGCCACAGTTTTAACAATGTAGGTGGCAAGTAGAAACAAAATACGTACCCTTTGTAGCTTAATGGTATGTTAGTAATAATCATAGCACATGAAATGCATATCTGAATATTTACATGAATGTACAGTATGTATGCACGAATGTGCATATTTGAACATGTCACTTGACAGTTTATAAGGCTTGTATACATCATCACATTTAATCCTCACAGCAATGCCAGGGAAGGAATATTACAAGTGATAGTCAGGGTCTGTTGTGGGTGGAGGCTGGGAGGACTGTGGTTTCTGCTGAAGCATCTTGCAGGGCTGCATGGGCTGTGGGCCCTGCTCTGGTGACTAGCAGGGGGCTCCCCCTCCTCTAGACACAAGGCTAGGGGAACCCCTTTTTTCTAATGAAAGTCACCAAATATCTGATGTCTTTGCTTCAGTCAGCATTCATTCATTTCAACGTGATTGTTTTTAAGTTAAATTATATTTTAAGGGGCTATTTCTTATGAAAAGAATAATTCTTTTCATAAGAATTATGCAAGACTGGCCCTTCCTGGAGGGAGGGTAAGAAGAGAGTTTGGGGGGATGTACATGCTGAGGTCCGGATCAGGGATATCACCTGTTTCACTTGAGCTGGGCCCGTGGGGATTGTAAAGATGGGAGTAGCTCCGCAGGTCTGTGACCTTGCCCTTCCCCAGTGCTGTGGCCCAACCTGCCCTCAGCTGTGCCTCCTGGTTGGGTTATTCTTGTACCTGAAGCCCCAAAGTTTAGAACTCACTAAACTTGGGGGCGGAAAGAAGAAGTGGCCCCAGCCCAGACCTCAGTGTGGCTTTGGGAAGTAGGACACTGCCCTCTGGAACTTACTCTCTGAAGCATGAGTTCTTGGGTACCCCCTTCCGATGGCAGGATTGGCCCTTGAGGCCCATAGTCAGCAGGGTTATAAGTAAACAATTTGGTAACAAAGACCAAACTGCAGACTCGTTTGTTGGATTTTTTGCTTTTTTTCTTTTGTTATTGTTGCAGCTTTGTAACTTAAGAATTTGCCAGGTAACTTTGAAAACAAACAAACAAACATATAAGATCTTTTCAGCCTGTAGTCTGTTCTGTCAGTTCTGTAGTGCAAGAACATGTCATATATTCCAGGAAAAAATAATTTGAATCCAATTCATTTTGTTCAACAAATATTTAAAATTTATCTTAAAAAAAAAAGGAAGGAAGGAAGGAAGGAAGAGAGAGAGAGAGAAAGAGAGAGAGAGAGAGAGAGAGAGAGAGAGAGAGAGAGAGAGAGAGAGAGAGAGAGAGAGAGAGAGAGAGAGAGAGAGAGAGAGAGAGAGAGAGAGAGAGAGAGAGAGAGAGAGAGAGAGAGAGAGAGAGAGAGAGAGAGAGAGAGAGAGAGAGAGAGAGAGAGAGAGAGAGAGAGAGAGAGAGAGAGAGAGAGAGAGAGAGAGAGAGAGAGAGAGAGAGAGAGAGAGAGAGAGAGAGAGAGAGAGAGAGAGAGAGAGAGAGAGAGAGAGAGAGAGAGAGAGAGAGAGAGAGAGAGAGAGAGAGAGAGAAAGAAAGAAAGAAAGAAAAGAAAGGAAAAAAGAAAAAGAAAGAAAAAAAAAAATCAGTCATTAGCTGGGTCTCTGATTCTCATTCAAAGTAAAGCTGCGACTTCCAGGCATTAGTCAAGTTGAGAAGTGAGGCAGCTGGCCAAGTAGTTCGGGCCAGAGTCCTGCTACAGAAGAAAAATGATTCAGGGTTGCTTTTAAAGTTGAATTTTCCAGTGTTTTTCGTCTCTAAGTCCTTTAAATTTCCAGTTTTCTGTTCCCATTACCTGTGTTGATACAGGAGGATTCTTTTTAAGATGACAAGAAAGAATAATGTCTTTGGAATCCAAGTAAGTTATGTTATTTTAACTGAGGACAATCTTTTTCATTAGCTGGCTTTTCAGAGACCCATATAAATTATTATCAGTATTATCAAGGAAGTTGTCTGTCGTTGGGTTTTTTTAAAGCTTCCTCGCTTCCAGCCATATTGTCCTCATTATCCTTGGGGTGACTCCAACCGTTCGTCTGTTCTTTCCTTCCTGTCTTTGTGTGGAGATGCCTCAGCTGTCCAGGGAACAACTGACTGTGTTTTTGAAATGACTTTATTTTTCAGATGTCGAACTCTCTCAGGTTCGCCTAGACCAAAGAACTTCAAGAAGATTCATTTTATCAAGAATATGCGGCAACACGATACCAGGAATGGCAGGTACTACACTAACAGAAGCTGGTCACCAGCCTTCCAGTTGTAGGAGGGGTGGGTCCAATGGGGAAGGGAGGAAGGGACTGTTTGAATGATGAGACTTCCGCCAAGTGAAGCCAGTGCTGTTAAGATGAACAGTATCTCCAGTAACCTTCCCAAACAGACCAGTTCTACCCCATTCCCACCAGAATCATCCAAAGAAGTCTATAGGAAATAATGAATGCTCCCTAACAGTGACCAGAGGCTGGCTGAGATTTTTAGATTAACCACAAACTGACTTTTTAATAGTACTCAAATATATTTTTATAGAAAACTTGGAACAGAAAAAGTTGAATTTTGGTTTTTAATTTTTCCTCCCCCTCATTTTCTGCTTTATTTCCTTTTTTCACCAGGGCTATGTGCTCTAGTCAGTAAATATCCCTCCAGATCTGTACCTGAACTTGGTTTTGGTGCTAACTTTGATAGTCTTTAGGAGACTAGAATCATGACTTTGCCAGCAGATTCTTACTGAGCGCTGATTCAGATTCCTGGGCTGCTGACATTTGGAGCACAGGTTTCTCCGGCTCTTCAGTTGCTCTTTTAGAAGGTGCTGTCAAGTGAAAATTATTGTGGTTGAAATTTATGTGACCTTGATATTAAAACTATCTTAGTGATAGATCAGAATCGTTATTGCTGGCATGTTTGTGATCAACCAGCTAAGTCCATTCATGGCAGCCCGAGGGCGGCACTGGAACAGAGTTCTAAGACCTCTTGGGGTTCCCTGAAGCTCTGTACCCCTCTGTACCTGTTAGGAACAGCTCTGCCCCACAGACCTGTGACCTGGATAATGATTTCCCTGAATGGGAGAGTTATAGACACCATCCCAGAGCAGAGGTCCTGCGCAAAGACCATTTTGTTGGACCTCCTGATGTACTGAAGACCACTAGTACACTAATCTGTACCAAATGAGAATTGCTAAAAAGTCATTAGGCTCATGGAATGATTAAGGCCCGGCATTATTGTAATTTGGTGTAAAACACACTGTACAACCTAAATAATAACACTAATGACTACAGTTTTTAAAGAATGATTTTCTTGAAGTTTGTATGTACTTTTTAAACCTTAGTTGAAAAGGGAATATAATTTTATGGCTATTCAGTGATTTCGGAATAGCACGATTGAGCTCCCTTGTCAAATAATTTTTGCATAGTCAGTATATATTCATAGTTTAAGTACAGAGCTTTAGTTAAAATGTACCCAACTGCCATCTGTTAAATGGAATATTCTGACTTTCTCTCTCTCTTCTCCTTACTCTCACTGTTGTAATTATTATGCCTCATTCATTTAACCACCATGTTTTTCTTATCTTTTGTGGCTCTTAATTACTAAATCCAAACCTTAGTTATATTATTTTTAGTGTAATTATTTATCATTTATTTACATTTGTGTTTTTATCCGTAATCTCTTTAACCATAAAATAAGCATAGGAAGCCTTTAATTCCTAATTAAAATCAGTGACAAAGCCAAAGGAGTCAGCCACATTAATAGTATTCTCCCACCTGTAGATGCTGTCGAGGATACAGTCAGATAATTGCCTGGCATGGTTTGGTAGTGAGAGCATGTAGTTAGCAAAAGACTTGGACTGACGAGATTGCCAGTGTGTGCTTTACGAAGCCATATTCCTCAGCACACTCTTGACCTAGGAACAATATGAATGGTCCGAAAAGCAGGCAGTTGCTGGCAGTTTTGCTGGAGAATTTTCAGAGGGAGCCAGGAGAGACTATTAGCTTATCTGAAGATCTGAGAACAGGAATTTAGGACAGGAACCACAGGCTGGAGGCTGTGGCGATGGCCAGTTGTAACTGCGCAGGTGAGAACTGCTTTTCCTGTGCCAAAGGAAGATGAAAGGACTGGAGGTGCTGGGGGTGCTCTCCTTCCCCCACCCGGTTAATGAGCAAGGAAGGACTATTCTTACATGAAAGAAAGAACCTGGGAGGACACCAGGAAGAAAATGCAATTTCTGAGGTGACAGAAGGAAATTGTGGTCAAGAGCTGATGAATGGGAGGATGTGACCTGCCATTTGAGAAAGGAAAGGAGAATTGCCCCCACTGCAGCTGGGCAGCAGGCGTGAGATTGTCCCGAGAGACGGTGGCTAGGAACTTGTGGATGATCTCCGGTCCAGCAGTGATGGGTAGCAGGGATCCTAGTCATTCTCCTAGAAGGGAGACACGGGTGCAATGGCTGGGGCGGGGTCTCTGATTCCCCCGCCTCAGGTGTACAGAAACACACATACAGCACCACCAGCACTACACAAGAGGGGCACTCCTACAGTGAGTATCAGAGCCACTCGACCCAGGTTTCTGCCTGCAGTGGGGAGGAATGAGGCTTTAGAGAGAAGGCTGAAAATGTTCATTAAAGATCTTGAAGGTCTGGACTGAAAACAGAATGGCCTGAGTTACTGGTATGTTTGTCTCTTCTTGCACCGGGGACAAGAGACTGGAAAGGAAGCCTGCACAGCCCCGAGGCCCGCAGCGGGCTCCCTAGCCCAGGGGTCTCGGTCTCTACTCCAGCCCCTACTTTTGCCCACTCAGACAGTGTGCCCACCTTCTGAGTCTCCTTGTAACCTCTGACTGCACAGACCAGCCTCTCAGACTGCAGGCCAAACTTGGGGCCCACTTGCTATTTGGCCCTGGTGTTGAGGTTCCTCTGTCCGGAAGCCCACTGACGGTGACGGAGGCACCAGCATCAAGGAGTATTTGGGCTCACGTCTCAGCAAGGTCAAGAGTGTGGCCGATGGGATGAAAGGAGGAGCATCTGTCTTGAGATTCATCGCACTGTCTGATTCTGACAGTGGAGCTGAAGCTTTCATCGCTGGGTCTGCCATCTGTGTCTGGGCTCCGTCCTCAGCTCTACCGGCTCCAAGTTCTGTAGCGTGACTCCAAAACACACTCAGCTTGCTTTTCTGTATTTCTGTTACATGCAAAGCCTTACTGCAGGTCCCTAATCCAGCCTCATGGAATTTGCTCATTCCAAACAAATAAATAGTTTTCACTTCAAATAGACTCACCCTCCTCCATCAGAGCCATACCTTCTACTGAAGGTGCATATTAAGTACAATTGAAGATAGAAAAGAGAAAAGATAATAAAAACTGAGGAGCAAATATGATAAAAGAGAAATCTTGTGTTATTGAAAAAACAAAAAACCCATGATCAGTAGTATCTAGGTAGCTGCTTAGAAGTAAAGCTCGTGGGTTCGGCCTGCTCCATGTTCACCCAGTTCTCCCTATGACATTAGACAAATCCCAGCTGGCACGTGAAGTGGAGTGAGCACCTTCAGTAGACAGTGCGATAAGTTCTTTCCTGGCCCTGCTAGGTGTCGCATCTCCTAGCAGGTAGGGGAGGCTGCGACAGAAGCTGCCACACTCCAGTTTTCTGCCTTAATACAAAGACAGTTTGGCTATGGGGACGTCTTGTTGGGCTTGATAATTGGAAAAGAAAGCAATGCTTGGCTGAGTTTTAGAAAGACAGATTTCAGAAAGTTCAGACTAAGAAGTGGCTACTTGTGCCTGCAACCATATTGCCCGGAAGGATTGTAAAGTTATGAATATCATCAGATGATAACGGGTGCATTTATTGAGTGCTTACTGGGTGCCATGCTCCAAGTTCTTGATAAACTTTGTTTCATTAACTAAACTCAGTGGGTGATTGTTGAGTAAACGAGCGGAAAGATCTTTTAAATATCACCAGGACTATATCTTGAGCAATAGGAAGAATTTAGAAATATACATAATCCTTGAAATAACCTGTTGTTGTGTTAGGCAGAATAACATGTCATTCCCCTGCCCCTCGCCCCATCCCAAAATGTCTATGTCATATCCAGGACCTGTGACTATGTTAGGTAACATGGCAATGGGGAATTAAGGGGATAAATGGAGTGGAGGTCATTGATCAGTTGCCCTTAAAATAGCAGGATCATCCTGGATTATCTGGGTGAGCGCAGTGTAAACACAAGTGTTCTTAAAAGTGGAGGAGGGAGGCCAGAGAGTGAGTGGCAGGGTGATGCAGTGTGAGAAAGACAACTGTCCCTTGCTGACTTAGAGAGAATGAAAGAGGGGCCATGAGCCAAGGAATGCAGCAGCTCCTAGAAGCTGGAGAAGGCAGGAAAGCGATTCTCCCTTAGAGCCTCCAGTGAGAACCAGCTCTGCTAACACCTTGCCTTTAGCGCTGTGAGACCCATTTCAGAGTTCTGACCTCCAGAATTGTAAGATAATAAATTCGTGTGGTCTTAAGTCACTAACTTTATGGTAATTTGTTACTGCAGCCATAGGAAATTTAAACAGTCCTCATCCCAGTTTATGAAGGAGAAAACTGGACCACTTAGCTAGAAAGTAGGGGGTGGAATGTGGATCCAGGCATCAAATTTCAAAGCTCTTTGTCATAATTGAAGGGAAGCGTGGGAGATAAAAATCCATATACTATAAGACAGCGTGTCCTAGTGGATCTTGAGAAAACGCTATTGAATTCTGATTTTTAAAAATCATTAACTAAAGGCCAAAGACTGATAAAAGAATGGCAAATGTAGAAGAATGCTGTGAGGAAGATTCAAGTCCAGAATGAACTAAGGATTGATAGAAAGACTAGGAAATTGGAACATTTTTCACACTGGTGACAGGAATGTAAGATGGTGCAGTAATTGTGGAAAATAGTTTGGCGGTTCGTTTGGCTGTTCCTCAAAAAATTAAACATAAATTACCATAAGACCCAGCAATTTCACTGCCAGATACATAGCTAAAATAATTGAAAAGAGAAATTCAAACAGATACTTGTAACCAATATTCATAGTAGCATCATTCACAACAGCCAAAAGGTAGAGACAACCCAAGTATCCATCAACAGATGAATGGATAAACAAAATTTGGAACATACATACAAAGGAATATTATTCAGGCACAAAAGGGGACAAAGAGCTGATATGTGTGCTACAATGCACATGAACCTTGAAAATATGCTGACTTAAATAAGATAC